AATTGAAATGTAGAATGTACGAAGCATTAATCTAGGAAAATTTGAAGTCATCAAAATTGAAATGGAATGCGTAAAGATCGACATTCTAGGCATTGTTCTTGTTGCTGCTAAGTGCTGTCAAGTTGGTTCTGACTCATAGTGACCCCGTTTAGGATTTCTGGTGAATTTGAACCGCTGACCTTGAGGTTTAAACTGACCTTAAGGTCCAGTGCTTATCCTACAGCCACTCACCAGGACTCCATTCTAGGCATTGGTGGTGGTTGTGGTTGTGTGTTGTGGAGTTGATTCCAACTCATAGAGACCCTACCTAAGGTTTCTGAGGCGGAACATTTTTACAGGAGCAGAAAGCCTTATCTTTCTCCTGCCAAGTAACTGAGATTCAAACTGCTAACCTTTTGGTTAGCAGTCAGATTGCAATCCCCTATACTACCAGTTTCCTGTGCATTCATTGTCAAAAACAACATTTAAAAACCTGTCTTGAAATACAGTGCTTTCTTTGATAGAATAATATCTATATGCCTAACTGGAAGACCAGTTAATACCACTGTTATTCAAGTTTATACTCCAAACATTAAAGCCAGTGATGATGAGATGAAAATTTCTACCAGTGTATCAACAAAGAATTGCTAGGAATTCAAGCCAGAATCAGAAGAGGTTGTGGAGTGAGGGAAATCATTACAGATGTCGTATGGATATTGGCTGAAAACAGAAAATACCAGAAAGATTTTTACTTATGCTTTATTGACTATAAAAAGACATTTAACTGTGTGGATTATAACAAACTATGGATATCATTGTAAAAAATGGAAATGCCAGAACACTTAATTATGCTCATGAGGAACCTGTAGACCAAGAGACTCATTAGAACAGAATAAGGGGATACTGAATGGTTTAAATTCAGGAAAGGTGTGCACCAGGGTTGTATCTTTTTATCATTTTTACTCAATCTGTATGCTGAGCAAATAAATCTAAACTGGATTATATGATGCATCTGGATTATGGTGTTGGAGAAGAATATTCAAAGTATCATGGACTATGAGAATGCTCCTTAGAAAACCAGGAGACTTGGTTTATTGAGACTTCATCTCTTAGTCTTTGGACATGTTTTCATGAGGTATCACTCTCTGGGGTGGACATCATGCTTGGTAAAGTGGAAGGAGAGGAAAAAGAGGAAGATTCCCCAAGGAGATGAATTGACACAGTGACAGCAACAATTGAGATCAAACATAACAATTGTGAGGATGGTCCAGGACTGGGCAGTCTTTCAGTTTGTTGTACATAGGGTCTCTGAGTCAGAACCAACTTGATGGCACCTAACAACTACTACATATAGATTGAATAAGTCTGGTAAAGAATAAACCATGCTGCATCCCCTTTTTCTGTCCAATCAACTATCTCTTGTATTAGTTCTATCAGTATTTAATTACATTCCCCAAAAGTATCATTCTTTGCAATGTTATCCATAATTTGTTATGATTCATAAAGTTGAGTGCCTTCCTTTGTCAATAATATATCTTTCTGGTATTCTCTGCTTTCACTCAATATCTATCTGACATCAGCAGTAATGTCCCTTATTTTATGTACTCACCTGAAACTGGCTTAAGTTTCTGGCATATTAAATATTCATTCTAATATTACTGTTATCCCAAATTCAATGTGCCCAACTAAACCTGGTGGTACTATTCCAGTGAACATCACCATCTCTATACAGTTCCACTGACTGAATACCTAAAGGCTGTCTTTGACACTCCCTCCTCCTTCATTCTCCATGTCTAATTCATCAATAAGTCATGCTGATTTTATTTATTATACCTTTTCGATTCACATACTTCTCTCTTTTTCCATATATCCACTATAGTCTGAATCGCTGTGATCTCTTGCTTTGATTGCTGAATAGACCTCTAATTAGTAGCATTTCTTCTCCTCTGGCTTTTCTCCAATACTTTCTTTTTCAAAATGTGAATCTGCTCTGGTCACTCTTTTTTGTATATGATCATTCAATAGCTCCCTATTGCTCTTAGACAAAAATTCAGAATCTTTAACTTGGCTTTTAAGACCTGCATGACTCCCTTTGCTGTCATGCAGCATGAGACTGTTTTCACCTGATCTTTTCCTATAGCTTGTTCTTAGCTTTACACAGTTAGATCTTACCTCATAAGAAATTTCCAACAGGAAAGCCTCCACTAGCCCTTTATAGAACAGTATATACCCATCTTTCATGGCATGGTGTATCCGCCCTTCATGTCACTAGCCACAACATTCACTTATATATTTAATTATGTGATGATTTGACCAATGTCTAATCCTTAGTTGAAGAAGTGGGACAGACGTTTTCCTCAAGAATCACCTAAGTCAGTTAAGCTGTTTGGAACTTATCTTAAGGCTAGTTGGAATGCTTTGAATGATTTTAAGCAGAGGAACCATGTGACAGACAACTCCTCACCTTGAATTGGGTGTAGAGAAATACTTAAAAGGAAGCAAGTCTTGAGGAAGTAAGATAGAAGGCTGTACAAAAACCACAGGGTTTGAGCAAAAGAATGGCAACATTGATGGATAAAAATAAGGCAGATGCAAAAGCTTTTTAGGAGAACTTGTTGACTGATACAAGTAACAGAGAAGAGATTACTACTGAGATTCTGGCTTAGGCTACTGAGTTAAAAGTGATGGTGTTCACTGAGGAATAGAACACCAATGAAGAATGAGTTTGGAGGGGAGGGAGACAAAGTAGGAGAAGTGACTTCATGCTAAATATGTTGAGCCTAAAGCACATGGGAAACACCCAAGTAGAGATTCCAGGAAGCTCTTCAGGGTCACTACGAGTTGTAATTGACTCAATGGTACTTAACAACAACAATAACATTATCTATAAGAAGGTGTATTGGGCTACATCTTAGGCTGCTAACCTCAAGGCCAGCAGTTTGAATCTACCAGCTCTTTAGGAGAAAGATGAGACTTTCTGCTTCCATAAAGATTTACAGCCTTAGAAACCCTATACAGGGTGACTATGGGTCAGAACCAACTCGACAGCACACAATCACTACCACCATTGTATTTCAGATTCAAGAGGGAGATTTTTGGTGACTAGATTCAAGGGGTAGATGAAATCATTCCAGGAATAAGACTTGAGTGAAGAGAGCCTAAAGCAGAGTCTATGCCAAAATTGTGAAAGGCATCTGAAGATGTATTGGCCTTCTTGCTCTTCGCCCAAACAAACCAGACTGCTGAAACTTTTCTCAAGCAGCTCTCTCTGTATGAAAATCTGAAATGTAGTTTCTAAGCTCAAGATCACTTCTTCCAAGAAGCCTTTCCTGACCTAACCCCTCCTTACCCCCTTTCTTTCTTTCCCATCTCCTTACTCATGAAAGTTAGGATTAACCAGCCCCTCCTTGTAGCCCATGGTTTCCTGTACACTCTTTAACAATTTGCTACACACAAATTACATCCCCAATACCCATCTAGTAATCTGATAAACAGTACATGTTTCTTATTTGTTGAATGGATGACCTGAGTAGATGCATCTAAATAAGGATTGTCTTAATAGAAAACATGGTTTAGTGAATGTTTCATAAATCAGTCACAGATTTGTGATCTACTAGTTGATGCCAGTTTATAGGATGGGAAACTGAAGACTTGTGCCCTAATAGACTACTATAAGAGAGGAAACTGAAGAAGGGAGCAGTTCAGAGACACTAAGTCAGTGAATGACAAAGCCAGACTGAGATGTAGGCCTTTTCACTCTAATAGTGTTGAATAAATATCTTACTTTGATCAAGAATGAACAAGTTATAGAAAATAGAAACCAGACAAATCCTAAAATAGAAATAAGGCAGAGTTACAATAACTGCAAATCTTTGCCATTCTTTCTCTAAACAACTTCTCCTACCCCCTTAGCAATAGACCCTCTCAGGCAAATGCTTTATTATCATAAATGTATTCACTTGAGCAATATCAGTTGAATTTTTAAGAATGTGCTTGGCATTATGTTAATAAAATGAAAATGGTTCAGGTCATTGACTAATAGAAAGGCTGTCAAATAAGCAAATGTCATCATCCAGTGTGAAAAGTGCTTTAATACATATTTGAATAGATTTCTAGAAGCACTTAGAGCACATTATAACAAAAACATGTGCCTAGTAGAGCCAGAAAATGCCTCATTTGAACTATGATAGGAATGTGGTGGTAGTGGTGTGCTATGGAGTTGGTTCAGATTCACAATCTGACTCATAGCAACTCTATATAGGGTTTCTGAGGCTGTAAATCTTTACTAGAACAGAAAACCTATCTTTCTTATGTAGAGCAGCTGATAGATTCCAACTGCTAACTTTGCGACTAACAGGCCAATTTGTAACGCACTATACTACAATAACTCTGATGATAAGAATAGATTTATCAGATGAAGATGAGTGTAGGGTCAGAGGCATTGTAAGTGGTTAAGACAGCATGGACAAAGGTCCAGAGTCATGAAAGAATATGATGTAGTATGACTGTGGCACTGGATATATGGGTATGTTGTTAACTGCCATGAGTGGGTTCTGACTTATAGTGACCCTATATAGAGTTTCCAAGGAGCAATTAGTGTGTTTGAATCACTGACTTTGTGGTTAGCAGTCCAGCGCTTGCCCTAAAGTCCTACACCAGGACTCCCATATATGGGGATAATGGTAAAGAAGTGGGTAGAAGATAGAAAAGGGAAAATGCATTGATTCATATTGTAAGAGTCTGGTGTTCTTACCTCTGAATATGAATAAACATCCTATGGGCCACCAGAAATCATTGGACCACTCTCTGTCTCTGGATTAAAAAATAGTTCCTGAGGAAATCCTTTATATTCAATGTGTAAAGGTTTGTTAGGAATACATCTAAGCTCAAGAAACACAAGATGGTCTTAGTCTTGAGGGAGATAGACTGGGATCTGGGCCTCTGTGGGAAGAAAGGGTCAGGGTTCCAGCAAACTAGAACATATATGCACTACCACGACCACTGTCATGCTTGTTTTTTAGTTCCATGGAGAATGGAAGACCACCCGATCCTGCAGACTGGGCCGTGATGGATGTCGTCAATTATTTCCGAACAGCAGGATTTGAGGAGCAAGCTAGTGCTTTTCAGGAACAGGTAAATCGGTCTAGTGATGATGAACACACTTACCTCTCAGCATGGGAAAAAGGGTGTGAGGAAGGAACTGTGAGGGATCAGACCTGCTGCCCTTGCTCTTGTATATCCTTCCCATAAATTCCTGATGGTATTATATGGGCCCGAAGGAACTCAGGGGTCTTGGAAAAGGGAGAGTTAGAATGACAAACTAACTACTCCTTCCTGCAAAAGAAACCCTAAAGCCTGAGACACAATCACAGCTGCAGAGAGAAGGGCTACTGTGTATTTATGTCTGCATAGTGTGAAAGATTGCTGTTGTCCAGAGTGGGTCAGAACAACCCTGCCCTCAAAGTAAACACACTAGAAAGTGGAAAACAGAAAACAAAACAAAACAAAAGGACAAATCTGATGAGAGACATGAAGCACATTTTACTACTACTCTCGGTACCAGATGAGCTAGCATGACTCTAATTTGCTTTCCAGGTGCCTAGTATGATGGAGTGAGAAGAGCATAGGATTAATAGTCAAACCATTGTATCTCGGTGGGCAAATTACTAGATCTCTCTAGGTCTTGGTTTCACGTCTATAGCATGAAGTTATCAATACACCTAACTTTATAGAGGTGTTATTGAGAGGCTTAAAGGACAGTGTATATAAAGTGTCTAAGACAGGGTCTGGCACCGTGTTGAAGCTCAAAAAATTGTTAATTCTCTTCCCTTAGTTTCAGGAGTGGTGTTAGGAAAAAAGAAAGAAGGAGTCAAGGGTATTGTCCCAATTATCTGGGTACTCATGACTTCATTTTATGGACTAGACCAGCTCTGTAGGGATGAGACTGAAGGGGCATGACCATGAGGAGGTAAACTGCAGGACATTTTGTAGTCTGCTCTGAGCTAACTCTGTAGGGAAGCAGGGTTCCTTCATGCCTATCAAAGAAAGCTGTAGTCATCTAAGCATTACATTTACTTTTCTGATACAATAATGTCGTTGAGAGAATGGTCAACCAGGGGAATTGATCTTGCTGTTTGTTCCACATTCTTCAGCCATTTCTTATTCTTTCAAGCATTTGGCTGCCTGACCTAGGTCTGAATAAAATGAACCTTCCTAGTACCACATATGCATTTCTATAGGTTTCCTTCAATCAATTTTCCCTTTAAATTTTTCTGATCTATGTACATTTAAAAAAAAAAAATCTGGAAATCTGACAAAATAAGAACAAAGTCACTTCTTTCCAAGTTGGTGTTGTTGTTAAGTGCTGTCTAGTTGGTTCTGACTCATAGTGACCCTGTATAGGGTTTCCGAGGAGTTGCTGATGACTTTGAACCACCCACCTTGCAGTTCAAATGAACTTGCAGTTCAGTGCTTTATCCTACAGGGCCATACCAGAACTTCATACTCACCAGGCTAGCTAAAATTGGTGGTGGTGTGCCATAGAGTCAGTTCTGACTCAACGACTATGCATAGGGTTTCCGACACTATAAGTTTTTACAGGAGCAGAAATCCTCATTTTTCTTCCAAAGAATGGCTGGTAGTTTCAAATTTCTGACCTTGAGGCTAGCAACCTAACTTGTAACCACTAAGCTACCAGAGCTCCTTTAGTTAAAATTATAAAGGCTGATAAGTGTTCATGAAGCTGTGGAACAACCAAACTCTCATAAACTATTGGTGGGAATATAAAGTAAGCACTCATAAATCTATTCAATGACCTAGTAATTACACTCCTAAGTATTTACCCAAGGGAAATAAAAATATATGACCACAAATTTATTTGCACAACATTGTACTTAGTAGCTTTATTCATAATAGCCCCAAACTGGAAGCCCAGGTAGCCAACAATAGAATAATGAACATGACAAAAAAAAAAAAAAAAAAAACTAAGCCAGTCATGTCAATTCCTTCTCAAGGTGAATTGCTCCAGAGGGTTTTCAAAGTTGTAATCTTTCAGAAGCAGATCGCCAGGTCTTTCTTTTGAGGCACCTCTGAATGGCTTCAAAGCACCAAATTTTCCATTATTGTTGTTGTTGTTGTGATGTGCTGTGGTGTCAGTTCCAACTCATAACGACCCTGTACAGGGGTTTCCGAGGCTATAAATCTTTACAGGAGTAGAAAACCTCATCTTTCTCCTGCAGAACAGCTGGTAGTTTCGAACTGCTGACCATGATATTAGCAGCCCGATTTGTAACCACTACACTACCAGAGCTCCTTAAACTTTCCATTAGTAGTCAAGTATTTAACCATTTATACCACCTAAGACTCCAATGATAATGGACATTATTATATCAACATGCAAATAAATGATATACCGGTATTTTTAACAACATGGATGAGTCTCAGAAATATTATGTGGAGTCATAAAAGTCTTACACAAGAGTTCATACTGAATGGTTCCACTTTAAAAGTTTCAGAACAGGAAAATGAATCAATGGTAGAAAAAATGAGAACATCAATTGCCTCTGGATAGGAGGTATGAGGATTGACTGGAAAGGGAAAATAGAGAACTTTCTGGGTGTTGTTGTGTCACACTAGAAATGGTTCTATGTGCTTAAGATTTGTGTGTTATATAGCCTGTAAATTTTACCTCAAATGAAAAAGAACTGTATAAACACTGAAAATAAATGGTATGGAAATCAAAGTAATTAGGGAAACATATACGACACGACGGCACTTAACAAAAAACATAGTAATCTATATAACTTACTTGCAATTCATTTTTTACAAAGATGGGTTAATGAATGGATAGATGACTAGATGGTTATATGTGTGATGAAAAAAGTATACTAAAATGTTCACTGAACATGTTAGGTAATTGGAAAAATGGATGTTTATCTCTGTACCATTCTTTTCTTGTTGTTTAAGAGTCATCCTTTTACTCTTTCATTCATTCACTCAACAACTAAATACTTACTGAGCACCTACTGTTATGTGCATGCACTATTCTAGGCACTGTGGGCACAACCATGACCAAAGCATGAAGCTCTTGTTCTCCCAGAACTTATATTCTTACAACTTTTTTCATGTTTGAAAATTTTTATAACAAAATTATGGGGATATATAATATGTTAGAAAGTGGAAGGCTGATCAGCTGGAATATATTTCATTTTGGTTTTTAATAATATAATACCCATTGATGTCACTGCAGTTGAGTAACTCCTTTTTAAAATTAAATTAAAATAATATTGTAAAAGGTTAGCAAAAAAAAAAGGGGGACTCAGCTAAAAGGTCTTTTGGCCAGATTCCCAGCCATCCAGAAATGTTTTTCAGGTCAAGCTTTTGGTCAGTCTCCTCTGAGGCCCACATCCAAGATTAGGATAGGGAGTGGAAGAGGCTCTGTGAGCCTTCTAGCTCCTGTGCAGGACTTCAGAAATAGGACTGGACAGCTCTAAGCTAGGTCCTGAGGCAGGCCTTTCTTCCAGGGACTACTCTGAGGGACACTAAGAGGTAAAAGGGAGTAACTCTCCCAACACATTTCATTCTGAAATCCTTCAAAGCGGAAAGGAGCATCTTGCTACTGTATTGAGCCTGCCAACTCAGAAGCCTGAGAATTGAATTCCCCAAGGATTGGAGTTTTACGAGTATTGCCCACCAGTTCGAATGTCTTCATTCTCATAGAAGGGTAGGTAGGTGAGGAGAAGTGGCATCCTTGAGTTCTTCTTGAATCTTTCTCCTACTGTGAAATTCTCGTTTTTTCTCCTTGCATCAAAGAAGGTAGAGGGTGAAGAGGAGTCACTGTTCAGACTTAGGTAGATAAGACAACATAGGTGCTGTGACTCTCATAAGAGCTGACCATCTGGAGCTTCTACCATGATAACCTGCCTCTTTCATCATCATGATGCAGAGACCTTCAGTGTTTCACCTCTGAGGACTTCCTGGCATTGACCTTCAAGTCTACAAATCTGATTGCTATCAGCTAAAACCTCCTGCAGTGGAAGACTATAGACCATGTCTCAACCTAAACATATCCCAGACATATCTCCTAGATCATAGCAGCTGAGAAACAATTAGAATGGCCACTTCCTTAAATCTTGGGGAAGGCTTTGCCCTGTCATTTTACGGAAGTGGGGCAGGCATGAAGATCAACTCCCGAGCGCCTCTTAGAGTAGGTCCTAAAGGACAGCATAGTTGCCAGTGATATGGTGAGCTTATGCTGCATCACTGCATGACTGACATTCTGCCACATGCATCCACCATCAGATGGACCAGTGTTCAGGAGAGTGTCTGTCTTCATATTCTGGTCTCGCAATACATTACTGGGTGCTGTGTTGCTGTAGCAACCAGACTCAGATCTGACTTTCTTTAACAGTGTGCCCCTTGAAAGATGTTCGATCACTGAGCAAGATTTGTCTAAAGGGTAGGAATGGTTTCCTATATTCCTGTGGGGTAGAGCGGCAGTTGGATTAAGCTGGTAATCTTTGCATAGTCTCCCTACTCTCTACAGGCACACTTTTGAATTGCAGAGGCAGAGCAATTACATTCAAGTTTCCCCTTCTGCAAAATGTCTTCTAAGTCTTCTGTGTGACCCACAAACAGAACCACCAACAAACAGAAGCCAACAAACAGAACCACTATGTGGGAAGGCCTGTCTCTGCTCACCCTCTTCCTAGACCCACCACCAATGGTCTAGTGTAGGTAGTGTGTGTTTTGGGTTGTATTATGGTTCCAGTCAATCCCCTTTTATGAACAATGATGTCACCATCCCTCAATTGGCATGTTGTTTGTGCCATGAAGGCTGCAACTGTTCACTGTGTGAAGCAGCTTGTCCAAGGGGTGTCTGGTCCATCCACTGGCCTCATGAATCAGGTGCTTCAGCTAGGTTTACTGACACCCAAGAACAGGAGGCAGTGAGAGCCCTTTCTAGAGAAAGTGAGTGTTTATAGTGCCATGAGTACTATATTTCTAATAATAGCCCTTTCTAACACACTCAGTGGCATGGTGGCTGCTTTCCCAAGTGTCTTCTTTCAGTAGAAAGACATTTGAGGCTGCGGTGAATGATTTTAGTGAGAATCAGAACTCCTAGTCTATTTCTT